ACACAAGTGAATCGTGATAATAAATTGTTTTATTTGTTTATCGTTAATTTCTCTCAGGAAAGGCCTTTGAGATAATTATTAAGTTTATTAGTTTTGTTAGCTTGGTTTGAGACGATTCCAGGTCTAACACCGGTCTTGAAGGTGCAGTTAGATCTGAAAATCATTAAATTAATATCGAGAAATATTCAATAAACACTAATTCTTTGATAAAGAATGAATCATCAGTATTATATAGTTTTTTATTATAAAGAAATTAACGTATAACATTCATATTTTCATAATTTTAATTGAATTTAGTCGTAATCATTCAAAAGTGAAACAAATTTATTATTAAAATTTTCAAAAATTTCACTAACCGAAATATTAATCAAACAATCCAGAAATAAATAAAATTCAGTAATACTGATTTTATAGCAATTATTAATTTGGGGTAGCATATTGACATACAAACTTAAAACTCAGGTAGACATAATGTAAGGCTTTGGAAAAAGAACCGTTCGTGCTTTATTGGTTTTCATGTTCTATTACTTAAAAAAAAAAAAACAAGTGATGACCAGATGCGTCTATTCGACCTTTTGGAAAACCTCGAGCGTCTAGCAATAGGTATGATGGAATGGCGTGAATTTTTTTTAAACTTGTTCATTCGTTGATGTGATTGTGTTGAGTTTCTAATTTTAGTGACAAGATATGGATCGTTTGCTATTTAAATTGGGCTATAATAATATTAAATCATATGATCTATAAAGTGATTTAATAGTAAACTCCCATAATATGCACTGTTCCAATCTATTAATACTAAAGCTAAACTACACACCACTTGATGCAGTTCCATCGAAGATATCAGTAAGTAATGATGGTACAATTAATCTTTATTAGGCTTTGTGTAAACAATCTAACAGCAGGCTGGTGAATTCTCCCGTAATGGTACGTACATTTTTTTTTTTGCAAATTTAATGTTTTTTCTAACTAGTATGGAACCATTGACCGTCAAGTCAGGTTGATCAATTAATATAAATTACATTAAAAATTTTTTATTTAAGTTTTACTAATTAAATTTTTTTTGATTTGTATTCATCATAATATATTTCAAAAAAAAAACTTGAATTATTTTTCGAGGATTTTATGATGTGTTATAGACAAATAAATATAAATTCAACACAAAATGTTTCAAATGCTCGGCTGTGATATATAATCGTCCACAGTTTGATCTGAAATTTCTAAAAAACCTGATATTGAAGACTTAGAAATCAACTCTCAAGTTAATAGCAAGTAAGAATTTTTACTATCTAATAGTGATCGTTATTTTTGTTTTTTGATTACTTATTTTATATAGAAAGTACGTTGAGTTTGCAGGATGAGCCTGATTTTATTTTAATTTACGTAGCTTTACAATGTAAACAAGTTCTTTTGTATCGAAAAAATAAAACATTTGAGCAATAGAATCCTAAAAAAAACAATATTAAGATAATAATGAAATATAATGCATTCAATAATTAAAAATAAGGGCTTACCAATTATTAAATAGATCCAAACTGAAAGAGGAAGTTTAAATTGCGGTATGATAAAAATGTTCGATCGACGATCGATCTAAAATAAACTAAGCAAAAATTTTTCTTTTTTAATTCTCGATTTAGGTTGAGAGAACTTTTTCTAAATAATAACTTTATTAATAATTAAAGTAAACATAGATAACAATTGAACCTTTTCTCGTATGAAAAACAAAGCATATAGCATCAAGTATAATGTACAATATATATATTGAATTTGTAGATTAGTCAACCAATGTAAAAAGAGACATAATAAACTTTCTACATATCAAGTTAAAAAAATTGTTCAAGCTTTTCTTTGTGCTAAACAAGTTGAGATTGATTTATGTCATGGAGATCCCGGTTTAAAAGAGAGATGGAAATTTTATTAAACATTAAATGCAGTGAATGAATGTTCAAATGTACATGCAAGATACGTACCGTTGTATTTTGTGGGATGATGTCTCAAATTATTTGACTCGAAAAGTTGAAGGTTAGGTAAATAAAAACATCAAATTATTTATGGTATATAAAGAAACATGGTATTCGCTTGTTAAAATAGAGTGACAATGATAGAAAATGCATCAAGGTATAATTCATCCTTTTAAAGAAAATGAAAAATGTTAGTCTTCTATTTTTTACATAAAAAAATTATATGAGACGAAATATCGGAAACACTTGATTCAGAGTAAATAAATTCATACATGCATACAGAATATGGGCGGTGTGTAAACGTCCAATTTAATTTCGTAACATTAAATAATTAAAAAAATGATTTATTTCGTTTAATAATTTCTATTTATTTTTCCATTACTCGATAATGTTTCTCAAACGATTATAAATTCAAGTACATAAATAAGCTTAAATTTTTCTAGTCTGGGTATGTTGTAATCAAAATCATTCTTAAGTGTCGTTCGTTACTTATGTTAAGAAATTTGTGATTATATAGTATGTGACATGCGATGTTAAAAAATTAAGATGCTTTTTTTTTTTATGAAAAATTTGTAAAATATACCTGATTAAATAGGGAACATTTCCATTCAACAAAACTTCGTTTATTAATTTATATTTTAAAGATATAATATACTTGCACTTGAATAGGTGTTCCTTGGACACTGTATAAAGCTGCAGCCCTTATAGAACAAGAACACGTCAACATTTAATAGTGTAACGTGATCTTAAAAACTAATTTTTACTCTTCAGAGTTAGTAACGTTTGCAATTGATAGATCATTAAATAATTAGACTGAATAAATGAAATATAAGGTCAAGTGACACGAGCCTTTATTATTGATACAAAGAATAAAACAAAATTGATGTATAATAATATTTTGCTACATAAAAAATTTAAGAAAAATCACCAAGAAAAATCTGAAGAATCATCGAAGTTTATTATCAATGACTTTGAATTCCTGATTCCACAGGAAAAGTGATTTTAAGTAATTCTAAACCATGAAGGACAAACAAGAAATCCTCCAAAACTTCTAAGCGCAATACAGCAAAACCATATCGATAGATTTGATCTCTAATTTTCTCAATAGCTTTTCTAGCTCGTTCAAGTTCTTCATCACCACCGTCAATTATATCAAAAATCGCGAGGTTAATTTCTGCAACATTGCGCATTTCTTCTAACCTTGATTGAAAGGACGTTTCTTGAGCATCACCCTTGTGTTCCTTATCTATGTTACTATAATCCTTAATAAAAATAAAATCGGTAACTTTATTTAAAACAACACTAAAAAGATTGTCCTTTGTTCGCAATGCATCATCAATGCGGTCATCGAGCTTTTTAGCCATCTCGTCAAGAATCTCGAACCTTACCTCAGTAAGAACGTGCTTTGCTTGTGATATTAACTCCTTCGTTGTTATTCCTTCAATTTTAATTTTTCCACTACTTAAGACATCACCAAGCAAAATCAATAGGTATGCAATACCATCCGATCGAAAACCATAGTCTAGAAGTGTCTCCACGATTTTCTTAGTATCGATAAAATCTGAACGATCCCTTAATTTTATAAGACTAGTATTCGTTTTATACTCCTCAGAAAGTATAGTGATAAATTGCTGATGGTCGCCTTCATCATAAGATTTTAGTGCTCGTTTCATTATACAATTGAGTTTTTCGAGAATTCCTGGCACTATTGTCAGGTGCTCCGCCTTTTTTCCATAGGCTTGAACCGCCCCAAATCAATACCAAAGGTCAATAATCCGATTGCCAACCAGATTGGACCACCGACTGTACTGATTCCTAACAAAATGGCAGTATTAATCCATACGGAAGCAGCTGCGGTTACTGCTACTCCTACTCCTACACCAGTTGTCATTATTCCAATTCCTCTTCCTTAAGGCTAGAAGCTTTATATCTGACATGCAAGATATCCTTTTTAGGTACTTGATAATGAGCCAAGCTGCGGTCCGCATTGAGCAATAAATCAACACCGATCTTTCGCATATCATCATCAATTGAACGCTGATAAGATATTTTGTCGGAAAATGAAATCCCTTGATCCACTATTTTTACTAAAGCTCGCGAGTCATTAGAATCAACTTTCAGATTAATCACAGTTTGTAATTCAGGAGTTTCATCGGCAGTATTCCTACCTCTAACTTTATCAAATATTTTTTGTGCCTCGTTCAGATCATTTAACGTGACTTCATGAGAATTCTTAAGTTGTAATCTAATTGCTGCCAATGCATATAACTGGGCTTCTAAAAGTTTCTTAGAGACATATAAGCATAATGCGATACATCCTCGTAACCTTACTTGTTCTTTTAGTTGTTTAGCTTTATCAACAATTTTACATGCGTCTCTGTATTCCCGATAGGCTAGCAATCCATATGTTACGCTATTATCCTCCAGATCTTTAGAAGTAAGTCCACTGATGTCATCTTTTTTTAGTGTTTTGAGCTTATCCAATTGTCCTTTAGCCGCATTACGGTAGTCTATCGTAATTTTCCAAAGTTGGTCTGCATTCTTTTTATGAAACATCCAACCTTCGTTACTTAAGATTTTCTTATAATTCGTCAATAAACCTTCCTTAATCTCTATAATGTATCCAAATAGCTCAGCGCCTAGTTTTTTATGTTCACCTTGAAGAGAACACGGGCTATTAGTTCGATTCGTTTTATCAGGATGGAAATTAAGCACGAGATTTCGGTATCGTTTATTAATTTCTTCCTCAGACAGAGCATTATTAAACAAGATATCTTCTTTATTAGGAGAGTTCAACACATCCCGTATCATTTCAATTCGTTTTAGATAAGCTATTTGATTAGCTAATAATTTTAATTCTTTCAAAGAAGAAAAAATTGCTGGTCATCATTGTTGCTATATGGATTCTTAGATTCCTGAGAACTATTTATTAATCTTTCGTCAATTAAACGATCTACTACTTTACGTAATGAAATGTCGTAATTAACGATATTCTGATAATTTTCAAAAATCTTTGGTAACTCGATAAGTTCTTTAAAACTCTTTCTGATATCTTTAATAACTTCATCACTTAGAATACTATGAAATTCTTTTAATTGTACTTCTACAGCTTCCATATGATTTAAAAATTCCATAATTATGGATTGTCTCTTATCAAAAAAAACAATTGACCAAATATATATTAAAAAAAAAAAAAAGAAAGAATCGAATAGTCAATCTGTTTCCATCTATAATATTTTTTTTTTTTTTTTTTTTAAAAAGAAAAAAAAGTGTATTTGTTCACCTTTTGATTATTTACCGTTACACAAACTAATGTACGTCTTTTTTTGGTGTTTCATGTTTCACATTAGGCTCCGTGAAATTTCATTTTGTGATTTGTCGATCGTAATTTTCATTTACGCTTTTATTAAGCAATTTTTCTTTGATGGGTTTGTGGATAATTTTGTGCATATCAATGACGACCTGTATCAACATGAAATCATTATAAACCAGTATACACCGTAATCAAGAATTTTTTTTTTTACCTCCAGCGCTATAATCAACATTGAAAACAACATCAAAAATTTGTAAATATTTTCAACCTTCCTCTTCATATTTTCAATTGGATGTTGACTTTTTTACACGACGTCTTCATATACCATTATTGTTATTTCCACCTCCAACTTCAAATTCATAACCCTCATCATTGGTTGTCATATCAACACCGCGTCGCCATCTATTGATGATTTTCATCATCACCTCAATCAACTTTTTCATCAGCTTTTAAAATTCATGATCTGCGATCAAGGTTTAGATAATTTATACAACTTTATTGTAGACAACGGTTCAAGTTCTTGAACAATGTTTTAAAAAAGATATGTTTATTCAATTAAACTTTTGAAATGACGGCCATAGGGATGAGGAAATTTAACTTACAAATATCACCATGGTGGAAAATGCATGTAAGAATCAATTTTATTAAATTTGGATTTCTGAAGCATTAAGGGTTAAATTTAAAGATGACACTGTTCTTGTCTGATTCTTAGGGATTGAATCTGGCCTCGGGTCATCAGGTTACCGTATTGTTTAAAGTACATCGTGTCCCATGACATCAGAATGCTTTTAATTCTCAATTTTAAAAATTAAATACACGTGTATCTAGATTTCGCTTTACATCCTAAAATACCGAGCTACTAATTATATAATGGGCCATAGATATTTTTAATATTTATTGTTATTGTACGATAAATTGGATTCGCAATTAAATTAACTAAATCAGTTTGAACTGCAACGACGAAATCGTGTCTATCTAATTCGGAAAAATACAAACAAAAATAAAAAATTAAAATAAAAAATAAAAAAAAGAAGCACAAAAAAAAAAGGTCTTTACCTATCGTTTAATTTGACAAGCGGCCTGATTTAATTCAGAAATCTAATGAAAAGTAAAAGGAAAGGAAGGCTGTTACTATGTGAAATCAACGATATATCGAAAAACAAGTTAAATTTAAAAATAAAAAAAAAAAATAAAATGAAAAAGAACTTTAATAAACATGAAAATTAAAAAAGCACGAAAATACGAGGTTTTTAATTATTATTGCGGCCAATTGCAAACGAAAGCATAAATAAGTTAAAAAAGTTAGTCAAAATAAGAAAAGAAAAGAAAACTAACAGTGCTGTATTATTATTCATTTTCGTTTATCGCTAACATGAATTCGATTTTTGATTATAATGATTTTATGCGCAGAATTAGTTTTTCGTTTTCCGACCTTTTGAATATTCCTTTTCATTAGTTGAAACGCTGAGCGTTCGATAGCCCGATTTATAATGTATTTTAGTATTTTGTATAGAAATCTAAGCTTACGAATTAAAAAGAAATAAGATTATTTTTAATAAAATCGCTTTTACAGTATGTAACATTTGTAGTATAAAGGGCTTTATAAATAGAAGCGTATCTCAAACTTAATAATTTATTATGTTTAATGGTGCGTTTCTATTGCCGAAACCTATATAGAAAAGTTTATAATATATTTATCTAGTTAATCTACATAGATTTAAAAACGTAAAGTTAGTATTAGTAGTGTGGTTGCGCAGAAACTTACTGCGATGAAGTATTATCTTTCATTTTGAATTATCCTTTTGTAAATGTACCGTGCCTTTTATTAACAAAATGTTTTTCTAGCAAATTATAAAATGATTAATGAAATTAATAAAAAAGGAGGATTTTTCATTAAAAAAATTCATGTTGCTTAATTCTAACATTTTTTTTAATTCCTTTTTCCATTCTCTGCAGTCCTTGCTTGATTAATTAATTAATATAAAAGTTTCAATTTTTATCTATAATTTTGACTGATGAATAATCTTTAAATTATAAGGATGTATAATTTAGTAAAAATTGGATATTCAAGAAATATAACTATTAAAGCTAAGGAAAAGCTATATCATATGGTTTAGCTGTAAAGTATTTAATTTAATTAATTTAATTGGGCAAATTTAGTAAGTACCGCAGTATTTGATCACGTTATCAAATTAAGTTTGTACTACTGCAATGTTCGGAAAAGAATTTCCGATGATCCAATTTTGGTCATCATTTACAAGGAATTTTTTTTTTTTTTAAAAAAAAAAAAATGGATGCAAATAGCCATGAAAATGAAGTTCATGACCTAATAGAATCTGAATTCAACAAATTAAATGTCTCGAATAAGAATTGTTCTTATTGCGATAAACCATTTGCCGAGAAATTATGGTGTAAAGAATGTGACCCTGGGTGTATGATAGAAGGATGGACTAGTGGAAATTCTGAAATTGATAAATTCATCAAAGATACAATATATAATGAAAGACATAAAGTATATTCAAGATTTCTTGAATGGGTGCCTTATGATAGATTCACAGATATAAAAGAAATTGGTGAAGGAGGATTTGCCAAAGTGTATTCT